AGACAGGCAGAGCAAGGGGGGTGGGGGAGAGAGAGGGAGACACAAGTGATCGGAAGAGAGGCTCCAGAGCTCTGGTATCAGCGCCAACCCAGACCAGGCGCTCGAGAACTCAGGCACTGCAGACGCGAGATCGTGACCTGAGCTGAAGTCGGCCGCTTAACCGACTGAGCCACCCAGGCGCCCCTCTCCTGAATTATTTTGAAGCAAATCTCAGACATAATTTTATCTGTAGTTCAGCATATATAGCTAAAAGATAAAGATTCTTAAAAATATATTCACACTACCATTGTCACACATAGAAAATTAAACAAAATTTCCTATAGATTTTTAATAAATGGCATTGGGATACCTGGATTGTCCTTTGGAAAGATATCAAAGCAGATCCGTACTTACACCGTACACCAGAATAAACTCAAAGCAGATCGGAGATGTAAATGTGAAAAATAAACCATACATATCCTAGATGAAAACATGGATCTGTGTGTTGGGAAAGCCCCCCTTTTAAACTATGCTTTAAAAATCAGATGCATGTATTAATAAACTTTGCATTGACAGAAAACCGTAAGCAGCATCAAAAGACAATGACAAACTGGGGGAAAATATTTGCAAGAGATAGCACAGATAAAGGGCTTATCTTTCCAACACAGAGCACATTTGAAAAATGGGACAAAGAAAAAAAACCAAGACCTGATAGAAAAATCGGCAGAAGACGTGAACAGGCAATTTGCAGAGAAAGATGAAGAGATGGCCTTTAAACATATGAGGAGATGCTCAGCTTCACTCCAGAAGCAAAATGCAAATCAAGACCCACTGAGAAATTGTTTCTCATCCACGTGATTGGCAGACATGCAAAGGTCTGATCACACGCTCCGGTGGCAAGGCTTCAGGGAAGTCTCTCATCCAAAGCTGGTGAGAGGACAAAGCGGCCCGAGCCCCATGGAGAGGGGGGTTGTCAATATCTAACAAAACCACAGTGTATCTACTGCTTGATCCAGGAATTGACATGGAAGGCTTCTCTACCAATAGACAACAGCTATGCCAGGTTATTCACTCTAGCTTTGTTTGCAATAGTAAGAGATTAGAAACAACCTAAATACCCCTGAGAATGGTCGGATGAATTATGGTACTCCGGTCGCGCAGTGACTCAAACGCAGTAATTAAAAAAAGATATAATAATAATAAAGGAAGATCTCCACGTAGCAGCATAGAGTGATTTCCAGGGCATACTGTTCAGTAAAAAGCCAAACAGCAAACCAAGCCAATTAAAAAACAAACAATCAAACAAAAAGGAAGCAAAGAGTGTGTGTGTATAGTGTTCTACGTTGTATGTAAAAAAGAAAGAGAAATATTCACTTACTGTTGTGAAAAGAAAGAAGGGGCTTGAACCTGTGAACCAGGAGATCATAACCTGAGCTGAAGTCGTACGCTTAACCAACTGAGCCACCCAGATGCCCCTAAAATCTCTTTTTGAGAGAGAGAGAGTGCAAATAAGGGAGGGGCAGAGAGAGAGGAGGACAGAGGATCCAAAGCAGGCCCTGTGCTGAGAGCAGGGAGGCCGATGCAGGGCTCGAACTCACGAACCCTGACCATGACCTAAGCTGAAGTTGGACACTCAACCAACCGAGTCACCCAGGTGTCCCTAGGTTTACTTTTTATATAGATTTAAATTATCTTTTTGGGAGAGAGAAAGAGAGAGAGAGAGAGAGAGAATCCCGAGCAGGCTCCACACTTAGCATGGAGCCTGATGTGGGGTTCCATCCCAGGACCATGAGATCATGACCTGAACCAAAATCAAGAGTTGGATGCTCAACGGATGAGCCACCCAGGTGCCCCTAGATTTAAAATTTGAACCATGTAAGTGTTGTAAATATTCAAAAAATACAAATGAATTGAAAAGAATGAAAAAAGCAAACTCTGAGATCAAGTGCAGATAAGTGAATCTGTCCACATAGTAAATCGTTAGCATAACTATACAGAAAAGGGAATTAGTTCCAGTACTTTTGCTCACAGTATTCTGACTGTATACCCTAAGTGAGATACAGTCTAAGGCTGTACTATTTGATACAGTAGCCACTAGCCACATGTGAGTATTTATTTAAATGCTTAAATTAAAATGAAAACACTTAAATAAACTGCACTGCTGATGTAGAATTAAAAATTCAGTTTTTCAGTCATACTAGTCCCGTTGCTTGATGGCCACATATGGCTGCCATGTTGGACAGCACAGATACAGAGCATCTCCCTAATGCTGTAAGTGCTTTTAGACTATTCTGAGGACAAAAGGGACTGCAGATAAATCTTGACTTTTACTTAAGTTTGTGATAGGTGGTCACAGTAGTTTAGCAATTTTGAAATCCTTTTGAATTTTGAAGGATGGAACAGATAAGCAGATATATTCATATTTTGGGGAAATAAGTTCTCACTGAGGGAGAAGGGGGGTACAAATACGGAATGGGAGCAGAGGAGGAAAATTTTGCAGCGTTAGATTTTAATTGGAACTATCACGGTCAACTAATGGTTACTAAAGAGGTGACATGCCAGAAGCAATGAGCACTGAGTACCCCAGATCTTGGTTTCTAAGTACCATTCCCTGCCAAAAGGAATCCAAGTTCCTTGGAGAAATTGCTGAGCCCAGACGTGGGGTAGGGAAAGTACGAGATGAGCCTGTGGCAGAGGGAAGAAGGTGCTCGAGGACTGATGGGAACCGTGTCCAAAGGACACGGGTGTGTTTGGAGCTCCCAATGAACAAAATTTGGGATAAATTGAGACCACGAAGATAGCGATGGTGGTGGAGTATAACACAGAATAAAAAAGAATCCATAGTGATACAGAGAGGGGAGTTTAGGTGAGAGGGAGGTGGGGTGGGAGGGAAAAAGGACTAGCTCTTTCTTACAGGAGAATGCCAGCTAATAAATGTAGAAGGAATAACGGAGTTAGAAAATCACTATTTTGCAACCCCCAACTTAAGAACTGATTTAGGCAGGGGTCATAAATGAATGCTAAATACATCAATGAAAGATTGTTGGGGAACAGAATAGTCACAGTCTCAAGATGTGGGAAAGACACAAGATTGCTTATGTAGAACTCTGGCCAAAAATGATTAACCTGAGTCTAATCATGGCAAAACAATCAGAGAAATCCAGTTGTGGGGCATTTTACAAACTACTTGCCTGAACTTAAAAATGTCCCGAAAGACCAGAAGTTACTGGGATCTGGTCTAAAGGGGAATAAAAAGATGTGGCCTTTGTGTAACCAAATGTAACACATGGTCCTTGATGAGATTGTTGATCAGAAAAAAACAAAAACAGGGGCGCCTGGTGGTGCAGTCGGTTAAGCATCCGACTTCGGCCAGGTCACGATCTCGCGGTCTGTGAGTTCGAGCCCTGCGTCAGGCTCTGGGCTGATGGCTCTGGCCTGATGGCTCGGAGCCTGGAGCCTGTTTCTGATTCTGTGTGTCCCTCTCTCTCTGCCCCTCCCCCGTTCATGCTCTGTCTCTCTCTGTCCCAAAAATAAATAAACGTTGAAAAAAAAATTAAAAAAAAAACAAAAAACAACCCCCCAAAACTATAAGGGATACTTTGGGGACACTAACCAGTATTTAAATAGAGACTGTCTATCAGATATTATATCAATGTGTCAGCGTTGAACTTCTTCCAAGTGGTGGTGGTATTATAGTTTATGTAGCTGGCCTCCTACTTGTTCTTAGGTGATGTACGCTGAAGTAGTCTGGGGTGAAGTGACTTAGGTCTATTTTTCAAATGGTTCAGAGAGAAAAAAGTCTTCATTTATATCCCTGAAATAAGACTCCTTACTTCCTGACCCAACTAACATAACTCTCCTTGCTGGACTGGTCACTGGTAAAACCTTCCTTCCCCCTTTTCAGAGCACATGGAGCCCAGAGTCCATAAATCAACAAGCAGGTGCAAGGTCCTCTCCTGGCGCCATGTGCATTTGACCCTTGAGCAACATGGGTTTGAGCTGTGCGAGTTCACTCGTCTGTGGACTTTTCTCAATAAATAAAGCACAGCACTGTAAATGTTTTCTCTTCCTTGTGACTCTCTTAACATTTTCTTTTCCCTAGCTTACTTTATTGTACAGTATATAATAATATAACGTAGAAAATATGTGTTAACCAACTCTTTGTTTTTGTTTTTGTTTTTTTTGAGAGAGAGAGAGACGGGGGGAACACTCATGTGAGAAGGGAAGGGGCAGAGGGAGAGGGAGAGAGAGAATCCCAAGAAGGCCCACACCCAGTGCGGAGCCTGACATAGGGGCTCAATCCCACGACCTTGAGATCACGATCTGAGCTGAAATCAAGAGTTGGGCACTCAACCGACTGAGCCACTCAGGCACCCCAACCAACTCTTTGCTACCCATAAGGCTTCCAGTCACCAGTAGCCTATCAGTAATTAAGTCTTTGTGGAGTAAAAAGTTATATGTGGATTTTTGACTGTGCCGGCGTTGGTGTGGCAAACCCTCGTGTCGTTCAAGGTCAACTGCACCGGTTTCTCGTCCCCTCCCTCACTGGGAGCACTAGGCTGAAGGCCTGGAGACCCAAGTTTGGGTCCCTGTGACCTTGAGCAAGTTACTCCACCTCCCCGGCTTCTTCATCCTGGGCTACAGGATGTCCAAGACCATGATGTTGGGTGGAATAAGTTGTCCTTGAACTCACATGCTTATAGGGTCCCGGGGGGGCTGGAGACAGCGTGATAAGTTTCATGGCCCTCTGTGGCAACAGGATGAAGGTTTATCCTTTGTACTCTCCCTTCCCTAAATTGGGTCCTAATCACCATTTTGGGGGTGAAAGGAGAAGGCAAGGTGTGCCTGCGCAGGTGGGAGCGTGCTCGCTGCTGGGTGAGTGAGGGTCTGAAGCTGATGTCAGAAGCGGTGCCAAGGGCGGGGTCTGAAGTCAGGATTTGCGCTGGGGGGCCGGGCAGTGTTTGGTAGCTCAGGGTTCTTGGGGAGCCTCAGGTGTTACCTGCCCCGCCCTCACCCACCAGGCCCACGAGCGGCTGGAGGAGACCAAGCTGGAGGCCGTGCGGGACAACAACCTGGAGCTGGTGCAGGAGATCCTTCGGGATCTGGCGCAGCTGGCAGAGCAGAGCAGCACAGCCGCGGAGCTGGCCCGCATCCTCCAAGAGCCTCACTTCCAGGTTCCAGCCCGGAGGGTCGGGGGGCGGGGAGTTGGGGTGGTGGCTGGGGCGGCTCCTGGGAGAGGGGCTGGCGGGGAGTTAGAGCCACGGGGCACTGTCCCACGGTCCCTCCTGTTTTCACCACCTCCCCAGTCCCTCCTGGAGACACACGACTCTGTGGCCTCGAAGACCTATGAGACTCCCCCGCCCAGCCCTGGCCTGGACCCCACCTTCAGCAACCAGCCGGTGCCTCCCGACGCGGTCCGCATGGTGGGCATCCGCAAGACCGCTGGAGAGCATCTGGTGAGGCCACGGGGCAGGGCTGGGGATGGGATCCGGAGGGGGGCGGGGTGGAGAGTAAGCAGTGGAGGCCGGATCTGGCCCGGAGAGGGCTGAAGGGGAAGATGGTTCCAGCTTTGCCCCCGGGCCAGGCCCGTGCAGCCCCAGGAGACCGCAGACACCGTGCACCTGAGCTGCACACGTCCGCTTGCCAGGACCCTCCCCACTCTGCCCCCCTTCCCTCCATGAGCGGCCCTGTAAGTGAAGGATTGGGGCAGAAAAATGGAAGAGGGGGACTCTGTGAGTCCGGGGTGGAAGGGGTGAGGGTGGGAATGGAGGGGCCGTTAGGAAACCCACTTGAAGATTCTGCCTTGGAGCAGCTGGGGCCTTGTCACACCCGCCCTCCACCCCCCAGGGAGTGACGTTCCGTGTGGAGGGCGGCGAGTTGGTGATCGCGCGCATTCTGCACGGCGGCATGGTGGCTCAGCAAGGCCTGCTGCACGTGGGCGACATCATCAAGGAGGTGAACGGGCAGCCAGTGGGCAGCGACCCCCGCGCGCTGCAGGAACTCTTGCGCAGTGCCAGCGGCAGCGTCATCCTCAAGATCCTGCCCAGCTACCAGGAGCCCCATCTGCCCCGCCAGGTGGGTCCCTCCACCTACCTCCCCACCCAGACCAAGGCCCAAGGGGCAACCAGGACTCCCAGCCGCCAGGGTCACAGGCCCACATACACGTGCATTGGCCTGAGTCTTGGGCACTCGTACGCATGTGCAAGGGACGTGCGCGCGTTTGTACCCGCGTAGGCAACCTGTATCGATGCAGCCCCGGGCCTATGTGTACCGTGTGCGCGCATGCGCGATGCTGAGTTGCCAGGTGTCCTGTACAGCTGCCTCCTGGTTGGTGGAAGGTGGGGGTCTGGCCGTTCTGTCCACTTTCTCCTACTGGCTCTGTAGCCATCTGCCAGAGCCCCCTGTTCCAAGAGGCGGCTGTGGGTGGACTGAGGGATCCAGAGCCAGGATTGTGTCCCTTACCCAGTGATCTGCCTCTTCCTCAGCAGGTGGCCGCCTCAGGCCCCAGGCCTGACCACAGGCCCCATCAGTCTGAGTCCTTTTGTTCTAGATGCAAAGGGAGGCCGCTACCAGGGGGGCCTGGGGGCACCATGCCCTTACTAGGGGGGCCACGCCTTAGCCTCTTTCACCTTTGTGAGGGCCTGGGGAAGACAGTGGACCCCGTGACGGTCCCCCCACCCTCAGAGGGGGAAGTGGGGTAGGGGGCTGGTCTGAGAAGGGTTCTGACCTCCAGCCTTACCTTCCTCCCTTGACCCTTCTCTGATCCCCCATCCAGGTATTTGTGAAATGCCACTTCGACTATGACCCTGCAAGAGACAGCCTTATCCCCTGCAAGGAAGCCGGCCTGCGCTTCAGTGCTGGGGACTTACTGCAGATTGTAAACCAGGACGATGCTAACTGGTGGCAGGTGAGCCCTCGGTGTCTGTCTCTCCAGGCGTGGTGTGTGGGGGAGGTGAGCGCCCAGGGAGGTGTCTTCTCACTCAGGCAGATCTTTCTCCCTTGTCCGTTTTCAGGCATGCCATGTCGAAGGGGGCAGCGCTGGGCTCATCCCCAGCCAGCTGCTGGAGGAGAAGCGGAAAGCCTTTGTCAAACGGGATCTGGAGCTGACACCCACCTCAGGTATGAGGGTCCCCCCCCCCCCCCCC